GGAGCAAAGAATGTGGGAGCTGGAAGGTAGAGTTAGAAATGATCTAGTCTAAGCCTTCATTCAGACGACAAATGAAGCCCTGAGCAGCTGTGATACAGACGTTGGCTCAGAACCCAGGGCTTTTGCTCCTGTCCTTCGTACTTGGCATTGGTACTTGGCAGTGTTTTGATTATTTTGAACTTATCATGACATGCAGGGGCACTACTTATTTTTGTTAGCCTTATCCAAGGCAAAAGGTTGTGAAAAAATTGTGCTTATAATTCATTGAGGACTATGAAAATGAGCTGAGAATCTCAATGGAAGTTATTCCAGTAGTAACCCATTGGAATGGTTGATTTTAAACTCTAGTGTTGGCAAATAAAAATAATTTATGTGTGACACTATACGAAAGGAAGAAGCCACCCACTTTGGGGAGAAGACCCAGGACTAGACGTTGGGAACCTTAGTTCTAAACCCAAATCTTATCCCTTATGGCTGTGGTGCTTTGGGTGGGTCATTTAAACTGTCTGGGCCTTTGTGGCTTCATATGTAAAATGAGGTGGTGTACTAAAAAGATGGTTAAGTTTTTTCCAATTTTAAATTGTGGTTTGTATGGGTCACAAGAAGGGTATAGCTCTTTGGATATTTTATAGTTAAAGCATATAATAATAATTTAGTTTCATTTGTGGTTAGTTGCTCAATTCTGGTTCCATAACCAGATTTGTACAAAGCATTGCGTAAGTATGGCATGTATAGTTTGTAGAACTCCTTGAGGACACTGCAGGTTCAGTTATTTGTTTGAAGTGCATGTGTATTTCTCTTCCCCACCTTTATCCCTCCTCCTCCCAAAAACTTAGGATAGGGATCCTAGAGGCAAGGAAGTTTTAGAAAGCACTTAAACTTTTAACTTTGTCTTTAAAAACAGACATTTAAGGCATTTCTTTTTTGAAGGTGGTAGGGCAGTTGTTTAGATTATGAAGGTGAAGATAAAAATACATTTTTAATAATCTTTTATTGGTTTGACTTTTAGAATTAGAGCTTATTTTGTCCAGTCATTTTACAAGAAAACACATAAAGGTGTGCATACGTGGTATGTAGAGGATTTAGACCATTGAGTTTTTGCCATACAATTTACCTTTTGCTATGTGTTATGATGAAAGACTAGATGGGGAGCTAAAGTTTATTAAACAAGCACCATCTTCTTCCCCCTTTTGTCTATGAGGTCTGTATTGTTATCCACACTTATGAATTAGGAAGTTAGTTTCAAAAAGGGCACAGGGTCCAAGGTCATAGCACTGATAGGTGGCTAAAAGATTGCTAAGTCAGGGCCTACTTCAAAGACTTTTCCAGCTTCAGTGCTGTTTTCTGTACTCCAAAGGTAGAGGTTACTCAGGTCCCCATTACTCAGCTAAGCCTAATAACAATAACAACCACAATGTTAAAAAGGAACGTGGAGTATCTGTAGTGTGCAGGGGCTGAGGTTATGTGCTTATAGACAGATAATATGTCACTTCATCCTTACTGTAGTTCTCTGTAGCTGCTATCACTGTCTCCTTTTTCTCAGAGGAAGTGGAGGCCCAGAGAAGTTGTTACTAGCTCCCGGGTCTAAAGCTTGCAGACACAGCCAGAACTCAGGTTTGTCAGACTCCGGAGAGATCTCTTAACCATCATGATTGCTGCGCTGGCTCTTGAACCTGAAACAAATAGTGAAATTATTGTTGAAAATGGCCATGTGAACTCTTTACCTCATACAAGTCTCTTAGGATGTGACATTTCATAAAGCTGGACCAGATCTTAACTCATTGTGATTTGAGTTCACCCCTGTGATGGGGCTCTTGATTTTGACTCTGAAGGCTTCCTTTTGTCACAGTACAAGAAGGCAAGCACAGCTCCTTTCTTGGGATCCAGGCTATGGAAGCTGACTGTCCTTTGCCCCACAGGGAGGAGGGACAGAGCCAAAGGCAACAAAGGGGCAAGCGTACTGGTACTGGTCATACAGAAGTTTTCTTAGTGATGACAAATGGACTTTAAAGCCCTTATTCTAACAAGAGGACTATTTTGAGGGATAACACCTATTTTTTTTGTTTGTTTGGGTTTTTTTTTTTTTGGTGGCTGGCTGGTAACAGGGTTCAAACTCTGGACATTGGTGTTATCAATACCATGCTCTAACCAACTGTTAATGTCCATTTTAATTTGAAAAATTGTGATAACTATGTGGAAAAACCAGTTTTGTAACTTTTTATTCTTATCCTACAGACTGTCCATAGCTGATCAGAAGAAAATCCAGCGTGTATACTTTTACCATATTCTATTCTTATTAGGCAGTTGTGTAGTATTGTGATTGAATTAAGACATGCTTTAAGGATTTAGTAATACAGTCAGTAATGTATGCATTTGAATTTGTCTCATGTCTCTACCAGAGTTCTTGGTTTTTTGATAGTGCAAAGTAACACTTAATTTTATTGATTAAATTTACACTGTGCCAGGTTTTGTGGCATTCCACAAAAATGGTGAGGAACTAAGAATGGGAAATTTGGCACAGGCAAAGAAAGTTGGTTAATACGTTTGAAAGACAGTTAACATGCCTTGCGTGATTGACGAAAGTGCAGAGGGAAGCAGCTTGTAAATGAGGTGGCTCTCCAGGTCTCCAAATCTGAGCAGCATTTCACCTGTGTTATACAGGTGTTTTTCAAAGTCCCTACAATGTGTGCCAAGTGCACACTAATGCTTCTGCTTAAAACAGGCAGTTTACGCTGTGAAAAAGGCAGCAGCAAAGTAACCATAGCTGGTGTTTCCAGAATTGGAAAAATTTCCACAGGGATTCGTGTGAAATCCAATTAAGGAAGTACTTCCTTTTTATAGATCATTATGGGGAAACAGACTGAGGCAACGGAATTAACAAGGGGAAGTTAGGAAGTTTCCTGAATCTTTCAGTTTCTGGTAGGAACTCTAGTTCCTGAATCTGAATGTTTTGCTGAGATGGTAGGAAAAAAGCCTTTTGGGCTGCTTCTTCCCGTTTTATTTCTAAGGGTGGGACTCACACCACTTTTGTGACTATTCAGCTTTCAGCTAGGCTCCTGGCCCTAAACCTAGTCTTGAAAATGCCATCAAGGCCAAAGTCCCTTTGTCTCAAATGTACTGTCAGCGATTTGGAGGACCCGACACTGGGTAGGCCACTGTTTAGCCTATAGCTAGCTTCTCTGAGGAGGTCATTGCCTTCAGGACTGTTAGGAAATCTTCCTTATTTTGCCTAAAACATCTCCTGTTAATCCCTCTCCCAAACACACCCCTTGGGACTATTTTGAACAAGTCTAATTCTTCCCATTTGACAGGTCTCCCAATATCGGGAATAGTGATCATGTCCTCTCAGAGATGTCCTTTATCTAGTCTAAACAGCCTTCTTTCCTGGAGAAGTTTCTCATGGTTTTGAGGCCTTTCCCCCTTTTCTAAATGCCCTCTTCTAAAGTTTGTTACTCAGAAATAAATGTCAACATTAGTGTGTAAACATGGAACAGTCCTGTGACAAATGCTGTGCTTTTGGTAAATGCAGGCAAATAGCATGCAAGTTATTTTTCCCTCAGACCCAGCACACTAACTCATATAGAGCTTGCCTTTAATTAAAGATCTCCATCCTTCAAAAATAATTTATTTTCTTCCACCTTGTCCTCCACACATTCAGGTGCAAAATGTTTATTATTTTGTTTTATAAAATTTAACAGCTATATAGAAATTACTTTGAAATCTTTTTCTGTCATTGCTCCATGTTATCTCCAACTTTAATGTCTACCTTCTGTTTTTCATCCAAGTAATTAGGGAGGACAGTCGAATAGTTAGGGAAAGCAGGGAAATGCCTCTAAGAACTTTACAGACTGGCCTTAATCCATTGTCTTTTGAGTACTTTGTAAAAAAACAATCCTGTTATTCAAGTAGTTGTACTTCTATTTAGCTCATGTTCACTTTGTCCACAAAGATATCTTACACTCTTGCTGCAAGTCATTGTCATGCACATACATTGTGTCTACCGCATTACATTGACTGGCCAGTTTAGTAAAACTACCCAAAAGGAAATAACTGTGGTATCACAGGGCTTAGTGAACCCTTGCTGGGCTACAGTGATCACTGCTGTCTTATTTTAAAACATGTTTAGAAACCATCTCTTCACCATAGATCTATCCAAGATAGACACTAAATTGTTCTTCAGTGGCTTTTGTTAAGCTTTACTTCACTGCTTTACTGACAGTCTTCTATTCCAGTCTCAATATATCATTATGTGCTATTCTTTCCGCTTCTCTTATTTCTCCTAAACCTGAGCTTATTAGAGAACCACCCGTATTTACCCACACTGGTTTTTGTACCTCCTTTATATTAGAATCATATGAAATTATTTTGTGAGTTGTATATTCTTGAGAGCTTCATAGCTATGAAGTCATTCTTAAGTTCTTCCTACATTTGAAAAAAAAAAGCCACCTAAAAAAAGAAAATAAATTTCTTCTTTCAATAAGTTCAGGCAAATGCCATTTGTGAAAGAGTGTTCTAAACCTTGTGTATCAAGTTATATATTTTTTGCAGCTTATTTTCAAAGTAATTATGGGTCCTTCTGTGCTTTTTAGTCTTCATCTCCAAATCTGTGAAGAGGAACATATGTCTCATATGACTTTATGTGTGTTATAAATAGAAACTTACATTCTAATGTTCTTTTAATTTTTTTTGGAAACTATATGCTCTATTGATTGAGGAAAATTAGTGTATTTTTTCAGAAATTTCTGTTCACATGTAAGGTATTACTAAAGTAGATTCATAGAATTTTATGGCAGGAACAGTGGTGGTGATGGTAGGGGAGGAAGGAGGCAACATTTATTAAGAATATCCTATGTGCCCAGGTTCTGTGTTGGCAGTAATCTAAGTAGTTACTAACTGGGAGCCGGTTGGAATGATCATTTGAGGGATGGTTGAAAGGCGGTTTTTGGTTGTAGTTATGGTGCTATTTGGATTGTTTTTTGTTTTTTTTTTTTCTTTTAAAGGAACAGTGAGCAGAATGAATGCCTCACAGGACCAGAGTGGCTGCTCCAGTACTAGAGAACCCCTTTTGAGGTGTAGTGATGCACGGAGAGAGTTGGAGCTTGCCATTGGTGGAGTTCTCCGGGCTGAACAGCAAATTAAAGATAACTTGCGAGAGGTGTGATGTGAGATTTTCTCTTTTCTTGTTTGGACTCTTAGCACAGGGCTGATTAGGGCATGGCCGAAGACTTGGCTTTTCAGTGCCAATCAAAAAGTTGCACCCCATGTCTTGTGTGGTCTGCTTAGTCCTAGTCAGCTGCCTGACATGTTGGTGCCAGGAGGAAGTCCCAAGGGGAAATAAGGCAGATGCGTGAGTGCATAGAGCAAGTATTATATGACTTAGAAATACAACTTTATTACACAGGAAAAAATATGTTTTAAAATACAGTTTCTTATGTGGATTCTCATGGATAATTTATAGCTGTTTTGATTTTTTTCCAGGGGATTTTTATATTTAGACCCCATTTAAATCCCTGTTTATGCTTCCAGAAACATTTAGTCTTCTAGCTGTTGACATATGGTGGCACATGTCTTCACTCAGTTGACCTGAAAATAGACTGATCATTCTGTGGGGCAGGAAAAGAGATAAGAGGTAGTTATTAGGTTAATACTTATTCTGCCCATAAACTTGTAAAGCCATAGGTTTTAAAATTGTATGGTAAACTGAGGAGGATCAGTATGTCCTGGCATATCCGTATATTTTCTCTTGATTACTTTAGGACACCCCAAATAAACCTGATTCTCTTAGGAGGATTGGTATTGAACGAGGATTTTAGAGATCAGGTGTGTTTAAAGATTATTAAACTGGTGTTTGTAGGTTTGTTGGGTCCATGGTTGGGCTTTGAGACATTAAACCCTGAAACTGAGGCAAAATTTTGAATATATGCATTTTTCTGGGAGGATGCTCCACAGATGTCATTGGATAATCATAAGGATTTATGACTCAACCTCCAAAAAATTTAAGAACCTCATCGTTCTTTGGCCTTATCAGCACTAGTGAAGCTAACATCTATGTGTTTTCTAGGTCAAAGCTCAGATTCACAGTTGCATAAGCCGTCACCTGGAATGCCTTCGAAGCCGTGAGGTGTGGCTGTATGAACAAGTAGATCTCATCTATCAGCTTAAAGAGGAGACACTTCAGCAGCAGGCCCAGCAGCTTTACTGGGTAAGGTAGCTGCATGGATAGAATAGGTTTGAGCCTGGTTTCTGTTTCCAGAGAATGTTTTCCTTGTAACGCAGCATTAATGTTAGATCAAGGTTTAATCTCAAGTGCTATTTGTTTATTTGGATATAGCTGTTGTTTTTAGTACCATTGGCTACATGGTTTCGTTTTTTCTTATAGTTATTGGGCCAGTTCAATTGTCTTATTCATCAACTGGAGTGCACACAAAACAAAGATCTAGCCAATCAAGTCTCAGTGTGCCTGGACAGGTAAAGATCCTTTTTACTTGTTTTGACTTTTGGCTTTTTGACTTTGGTATATTAAAAGAAAGTCAATTTTGTAACTCATTGCATGTGTTCGATTTAACTTGACTTCTCTGTTCCTGTGATAAGATCATCCTGCTTTAAATATTTAATGTTATATTTGTGTTTTTTTTTTTTTTTTGGCGGCTGGCCTGTATGGGGATCCAAACCCTTGACCTTAGTGTTATTAGAACAATGTTCTCTCAAGTGAGCTAACCAGCCAGCCCTATTTAATGTTGTATTTGGTGATACATGATTAAGCCATCTACGTTTGGTTGAATTTCTTAGAAGAGTGTAGGCATTTAAACTTACAGTTTGGCTCTGCTTTGGATGAAGTTGAAGTAGATGTTTCTTAAAAATAGCCAGATTTTGTTTATTTTTTCCCCAGACTGGGCAGTTTGACCCTTAAACCAGAAGATTCAACTGTCCTGCTCTTTGAAGCAGACACAACTTCTCTGCGCCAGACCATCACCACATTTGGGTCCCTCAAGACTATTGTAAGTAATGCTGATCTCAGATGGTTCATTGGGTGCTTTTCAAGTCTGCGTCCTTACAGATGGGTTTTTTGTTTGTTTTTAAATTACATTTTTACTATGAATAGTGGCTTTCCTGAGAATTTTTTAAGTTTCAGAAATTTTGTGTCTGAGTTGATGGGGCATTAGGCTGGTAATTCCTGGAATGTGGTATTGACTCATTGGTAGTCTTTGGAATTCATCATGTATTCTTGTACGCTTTTGACATATTTCTTATAAAATTTATGGCTTGAGTGGTCCTTGGTAAAGAAGTAAACATAACCATCTGGCCTTGTTAAGAGCATTAGTGCTACCAGTACTGGTGAAGATTTCTTATACGATGATAGTTATATAGAGAACTCTCAGATTTGATAATTGCTTTGTAGGTCATTGAATTTAGTATGAACAGTATTTATTCTAGTGAAATGGTAATGCTTTTGCTTAATACTTTTGAAATTAATGGATTATAATTTGACTTTTGGTGTGAAAGCGTAGCATAAATAACTTGATTAAATTCTCTTCATTTTACAGCAAATTCCTGAGCACCTGATGGCTCATGGTAGTTCATCAAATATTGTGCCCTTCCTGGAGAAAAGAGGCTATATCCCAATGCCAGAGCAGGTAAAATGTCATTTTGTTTCTAGTAACTGCGTCATTACTTGGCTTATATTTTCTTTTGGGTTTTGACTAAGTGAACTTTTTTGTGCTACTATTTATTTATGAAAAGCCTCCAGTAGTAATAAACTAACTTGTTTATGCAATCGAATGCTTCCCTTGAGATGTTTTATAGATGCTGAACAAGAGAGAAAGTGATCATTACCAATCAGTTCATAGGAAATTATCATTAGCTCTTTTATTGGTATTGGTTTTCTCTTAGGGATCCTCTTTATAAATCATGGAGATGATTTATTTCTAAAGGCAGTGTGAATAAAGGGTCCTAGACATTTGAGTTGTGATGAACTCTAGAGATCAGCTATACTCCTTTTTTATGATTATGAAAATTGAGGCTCAAGGAAGGTATGTGACTAGCCCAGGTTCAGTGCAAGCCAAGATTAACTTGGGTCTTCTGTTTTTCTGGTAAACTTTCTATTGCATTTGACATTACCTTGTTAAACAGCAAAGTATTATGTAATTAGCAGAAGTCAGCATCCAGCATCACAGCTGTCCCTCTCAGTGAATGGCTTCTAGGAAGCAAACCTCCCAGTGGTCGACAGGTGCCATACATACCCAGCACCAACCCCCAAGACTGGCTCATTCAAAAGCAGACCTTGGAGAATAGTCAGGTATGTTGTTGCCTTTACTGTTTCTGAGATAAATATAGTAGTAGATGGGGTTAGTTACTAATTAGTATTACATGTCTTTGTTTAGTTTTTGTTTGTAGTATGGAAACACATTGTTAACATTTTTATAACAATAGTGACATCTCTTCACTATATATAGAAAGTTTAGAAAATAAAGAACTCAAAAACAAACTCATAATTCCAAAATTAAGAAACAAACACTGTAATATTTTTTGTTTAACATTTTTATAACAATAGTGACATCTCTTCACTATATATAGAAAGTTTAGAAAATAAAGAATTCAAAAACAAACTCATAATTCCAAAATTAAGAAACAAACACTGTAATATTTTTTGTTGATATACATCAATTTTCTATGCATACATATACTATTAAAAAATCATTCTGTAAGTCCTGTTGGTAAGTAGATTTTTTCACCAATATAGCATGAAAATATTTCTCTGTCATTTAATTTCTTCTATAAAATCTTTAATAATACAAGATAATATTTCGATTGTCTATAACTAAAATTCCAGTTTTTCTTGGTATAAACAAAGCTCCCCTAAACATCCAGGACCTAATTATTTGTGCACATTCTTGATTAGTTCCTTCGGAGTTAATTACTAGAAATTGCATTACTAGATTATAATTCTGCATAAGCTTTAAGACATATTGCTAATTTGGCTCTCTAGGAAGTTGGTAACATTTTATATTCCCAGCAGCAGAGTAGTCAGGTTACCTGCTTCCCTGAAACCTCGCTGATAGTGGTAGTCATTAAGTTTTTTTCCTCTGAATTTGACACAAAATATCAATTTTGCTTGTGAGTTTCTTTGATTGGTAAGGAGGTTAGGTATTTTCAAGTTTATGAGGCTTCTTTGACGACTTACCTGATATATGCTTTGCCCATTTTTGTCTTTATTTGTAAAGGTATATTATAGATATTAGCTTCTTTTCCATCAAATATGCTACAAATACTTAGTTTGCCTTTAATATTTTTCAATTTTTTAAAACTATAAAACATTTTATGTAATCAAATATATATTTTAATATCTAAACAGAAAAATCTCTTGCCTCTTGGCTTTGTATACTTAAATTTAGAAACATTGGGCAAGACAGTAAATATTCAGACAGAATCTTCAACGCATTCATAATTGTTCTGGCAAACTAATATTGTACACTTCTTGTATAGAATTCCGCCAGAGCCTGCAATTTCTTCAGTAATGTTTGGGGCAACCTAAAGGGTTTGGAAAACTGGCTCCTCAAGAGTCAGCAACAAGAAGTTCCTGAAAAACCAAGTTACCAAAAGTGTAACAGCCATTCTACTACCAGATCTTTCTCCATGGAGATTGAAAAGGTTGAAGAGCTAGAGCTTCATGATCCAGATGAGATGGACCTATCTGATTGGCTGGTGACTCCCCGGGAATCCCATAACCTGGAGAAGCCTGAGAATGGCAGCCATGAACCCAGTGAGAAGTTCAAGCACTTGTTCCAGTCCTTCAATGTGAGTGATTGGCTTCTTAAGCCTGACTCCTGTACCAACTGTCAGGGCAGCCAGCCCAAAGGTGTGGAGATTGAAAACCTGGGCAATCTGAAGTGCCTGAATGACCATTTGGAGGCCAAGAAACCATTGTCCACCTCCAGCATGATTACTGAGGATTGGCTTGTCCAGAACCATCAGGACCCATATAAGGTAGAGGAGGTATGCAAAGCCAATGAGCCCTGCACCAGCTTTGCAGAGTGTGTGTGTGATGAGAACTGTGGGAAGGAAGCACTGTATAAATGGCTTCTGAAGAAAGAAGGAAAGAATAAAAATGGGATGCCTGTGGAAACGCAACCTGAGCCTGAGAAGCATAAAGATTTCCTGAATAAGTGGCTCTGTCCTTCCAGAAGAGAGATTACAGAACAAACTAAGGTACCAAAGGCAATGGCATCTAGAATTGCTGATTCCTTCCAAGTCATAAAGAATGGTCCCTTGTCAGAGTGGCTCATCAGGCCCTTATGCAAAGAAGAAAGTCCCAAGAAAGTGCCTAGTACTGAGAACAGAGCTGGCAAACAAAAACTTAAAAGCCACATGACCACTTCCTGGTGTCCCTTTAACACAGCTGACTGGGTCTTGCCAGGAAAGAAGATGGGGAACCTCAGCCAGTTATCTTCTGGAGAAGACAAGTGGCTACTTCGAAAGAAGGCTCAGGTGAGCACAGACATCCAAACAGCACCCAGTTGTACTTTCTTAATCCCAAACCATGCAAAAGGATCCTTAAGTATTAAATACCAGATTTGGCAGAGGGATTAATTTTGGTGCCACGCTAGCAAAAGAATGGATGATTTATGATGATTCAGACTGAATTTTTTGTGTATTTTCCAGGCTCCCATCCTTTATCCTACAGGAAAGAAAAATATCCCAGCCCGTTTTACTGCTTTTTATGGAAAAGATTTGCGGTAGAAATAATAGTCACTTTTGCTTTTGGTTATTAGAGAGGATGGCCTACATTTAACTTATCCTTTATAGACAATATTTGGAAGATGGTTAGGTTGTTCTTATGCCCTTCAGTTGTCTTAAAGCAACCCACCGTTTATCTTATTGCAGGAAGTATTTCTTAATTCACCCCTACAGGAGAAACCTAACTTCCCCCCAGACTGTTACGGCCTCCCAGCAGTTTGTGATCTTTTTGCTTGTATGCAGCTTCAAGTTGATAAAGAAAAGTGGTTATATCGAACTCCTCTACAGGTAGGTGAATATTAGATTATAGCTATTTGTAGATGTTTACATATGAATTCATACTTTGCCCATTGAATTATATTGCTGCTAACAGTATGCATATTAGGCAAGTGAAAGTGGGAGAGGGGGAGTTCATAAAAATTTATGTTTTTCACTTGAACTTGCTTTATGAAATAACTAGGCTTATTTGAAAGTGACCTTTATGATGTAACTTGTCAGGGGTTTTGAGATCCTGTGTGTATTCTAGAAGCTTATTCAGAAGTGAGTCATTCAGAGCTTTAAGGTGGGAAGAATTTGCTTTTTTATTCTTCAGTGAAGTGATCTCTTATCTGTGGGCTTTCTTTACAGATGTGAAGAAACACTGCTAGAGTCAAGCAGCTTTTCTGCAGATTATTATGCGTCCATGAACTGAGTGGCTGTGGCTTGCCAAATCAATGTTTCTGGGTCTGACCACTGAGCTTAGTTCCTTTCCTGCCTAGTTTTGCATTAGTGAAGTAAACGAATTATGAGTTACTGTGTAAAAACAGCTGTTTGTTGATGCTGAGGTGATTCAATTCCTTCTTTCAGAAGTATTAACTTAATTCACCCCATACTAGAAACACATCTTGATGCGCAGGTCTTTTTCACAAGCCTCCATGGCTCCTTAGATTGGGATGTTACTAGAGTACATTAAAACAGTGAAGTTTTAAAATGAAATAGTTCTGTAATCAAAGTGTGCTGATGTATTCTAAAGCTTGTAAAGTTCCCTAACTTTTTGGTTGCCCTTTAGGTGCTTCTTTTGCTGTGGGTTTTCTACTATTAGTGGTCCAAAATAATTACTCTGTTCAATTAATACGTAGTATACGTTACACAAATAATTAACCTTACAGTGATTTTTTTTTCTTACCAAAATGTGTATTAATAATCTTAATAATTTTTGACATTAACTAGCAAAAATTTAAGACTATGTATCAGTTCTACTTTATTTTTCGTTTGAAAGAAATTCAGCTACTGCAAATTTTGTCTTTATTCTTTTCTGTAAATGTTATTAAAGTATCCAGTGGGCTCTTTAGAATGACTCTGTATTATCTCAAAACCATTTTCTGGGTAGTCCTAACTTCTTTCAAAATATTCTGCAGACTGGGGGCTTTAGTGTGGACTAATAGCAAAAAGGCAAGACATGTTGGAAGTGTAGTACTACTTGAACACTCTCCTACAGATTATTGGTGCATTCTGTGTAAATGGAAGCTGAGCTTGACACCTGGTGCTTTTAACTAGGGATAAAGTCAATGTTCTCTCACTGCAAGCACAGCATACCTACCTGTGCCTCCAAAAGTACAGTGCAGTGACATTTTAGTGAACAGGTTGTTTTCAACCCTTGTGCCTTGGGGTGTTTACTGAAGCTTGATGAAACTTGATGTTTTCTCAATATCCTTAAAGTAATGTCCATGCTTTAAAAAGTTTCTCTGTAGGAGAGAAGTGAGATTTACAATGTTTTTAAATTCTCTTAAGAGGAAATATCTTAGCTGCTTTCCAGGCTTTTAAACTATCAAGCCTTCTAACTGCCTGTTACTGGAAATACTTTTGGGGAAACTTCAAGGTCCTACAGTGTCATTGCCATATAGCTTCACAAAATTTCTTTGAACCGTAGCTTGAAAAAAGCCTCATATTTTTTAATCCTACTCCAATACCATTTAGAAACTTATAATAAAAGTGGTAGGTAAAAACAGCTTAAGGAGCCTTTCTATGTTAGGTTGCAGGAAACTTGGTAGTTTCTTTTTTGAGGTCTAATCCACCATATTTTACTTTATCAAAATGTAATTTACATTAATCACTATGCTAATGAGTATGTAAAACATTCTTTGCATTGATGCATTTTGTACTTCCCTTCATTAAAAGCATAACAGCCATTGTTGTCATGTGTATTTGTAAAACCATTTGTGATAAAATGTGCTGTCATTTATATAAATGTGATAACCTTTGGTTAGGAGGACAGCTGAGAAACAACTTGAACATATAAATTGTATATTCACTAGTATCAATCAACGTATTTTATGAATCTTGGATTAGCAAAGAATAGATATTTTCACATCTACACTTTTTCAAGCCATGGGACTTCAGCTAAGGTTCAAGTGCTTTTCTGCTAGGTTCTCTTATTAGTCGCATCAGAAGGACCCTAGTTTACTCTTTCTAATCATATAGCCACCAGTTATTTAATATTTATGTATATGTGTAACCCGCAGTGAAGTTAACATTTTTCATTTTATGGATGAGAAAAACTCAGAAATTAAACAACTTGCCCTTATTTCTTTTACCTTTCCTAAGCCTTCCTTGGAAAACTTCTAGCTCTTGATTATTCCCAGTAACGAGTGAATTAATATCTACTCACAGAATTAAGCATGATTGTTGGACAGGCTGTTGTTCTAGTACATTACTCTAATGGTATAATGGTTGACCTGAAATATCTTGAGGTTTGGTGTCAGTTCTAATGGAGAAAAATCTTACCCTAGCTGTTAATGCTGCCAATACTCCTTCATTTAAACAAACATGAAACTATTGTTTTGGTCTAGTTGGGGCCAAAAAAAATTACTCACAGAATTAAGCATGATTGTTGGACAGGCTGTTGTTCTAGTACATTACTCTAATGGTGTAATGGTTGACCTGAAATATCTTGAGGTTTGGTGTCAGTTCTAATGGAGAAAAATCTTACCCTAGCTGTTAATGCTGCCAATAGCCCTTCATTTAAACAAACATGAAACTATTGTTTTGGTCTAGTTGGGGCCAAAAAAAAAGCCAAGAATAGCTTTCACTTTATACCCAGGTAGACGCTTTTAAATGGGAGACACCCACTATGTTTATGTTGGAGTTATGACTTTGGTTCTGTTTTCACCCTTTATTAAGAACACAGGGAAACATACAGTTTCGGATCATTAAATGAACGAACTTGGTGATGTACAATAAGCATAACCTGTATTCTGGGAGTAAGTGGTTTTCCAGTTCAGAGGGCAGGAGAGAAAACAGGTGCAAGATCTTCTCTAAAGAAGAGAACCACATTACTCAGTGAGCCACCAAAGGGTTTTGGCTTAACTCACTAAGGGCTGGAAGGAGTGCCAGTCCTGGGGAACATCCATGATCTTCACAGCAAATCAGAATCTCCAATTTTTCAAACTAACTGTAGGTAGAAGAGACGATAACTCCAGACTGACTTATAAATTGATCTGGATGACTACTGAAGTGTCCTCCACTTATGAGTTGGCAAAATCTTCAGAGTGACTGTTGGAGCAAGGAGCCTTTCATGTGCTCCCAGTTGTTATATAGTGCATAGAGGCTAGTCAGTGTTAGTCCTGCCAGACCACCTCGTGCTACCCCTCGAAGACCACCTGCAAAAGAAGGGGGGAAAAAATGAAACTGCCTTGCATCACTCCATGTCCTAGCACCTAAGTGTTAAACAAGAGTATCATAAAATAGACACCATTAAAAAAAAAAAATTCCATCGCAAACAGTAAGTTTTAAAATTAATATAAGAAACCAAGACTTAAATCCAGGAGATAAAGTCCTGAAACCACTTGTTTCATTGGTTGTATTTTCATTTTCACAACTTTTTTCCCCCCACTTTTTTTCTTGGCTCTAGCCAGTACAGGGATCCAAACCTTCAACCTTGGTGTTACCAGCACATGCTCTACAGAGTGAGCTAACCCGTCAGCCTGCTTTTTTCACTTTAATTTCATGATTTATATCTAAGATCACCAGCATAAAAATGATTTGATTTCTTTTAATCCAACTTGTGCCTAGCAGTTTTGGAAAAGATATTATTTGTAGTTCCAACCAGACCAAACATTTCCTGCTAGTCATATAGTTTAGAAATTCATTAGCACTGTCAATGGACTTAAGGCTATAATGTAAACAAGGTGACACCCTATTTGGAAATAGTATTAATGGCCATTAGACTTTGGACAGGTCCTCTAAATATTAACTTTGAAGACTCAAGCAGCAGTAGTGATAAGATAGCTATAATCAAGCTTTGAGTTAGGTGCTGATGAAATATCAACCCCCCAAAGTCCCCCATTCCTGCACTGATGTGTCAATCTCCCACAACTGAGCAGTAAGGTACCTAGCTAGCATCATTATACTAGTTAAATTCAAGAATTAGACTGAATGATTTCTGCTAGACAACAAAATAACTTTTCATGTGAAAAGATTAGCAATATGCATTTCATTTGAAATGTAGAAACAAAAATGTTTCAGTTAGTTATCTGAAAACATTCCCCAAGTCTACTTGTGATTTTGCCAACTTTATGTGGTGGGGAGAAACCAAACTAAAACTCCACAGGATTGGGGGTGCCCTAAGCTTTTAAAAAATGTGATGTTCTTCTGCAGCTCCAGGTAGGATCATAAACTTCAGGGTAGCCTACACTGTACCCATGAAGTATTTGTTCCAAGTCATGTGTTAGGAAGACAAAGGTAGACTGGAGCTGTGGTGCAGTGGTTACTTTATTAGAGGCCCTTTGGCTCCATGCCAGTAAATTCTGTGAAATTCAGTGACACTGCTGAGTTAGAACACTTCAGAACTAACCACTTCTGCAATGGGTGTCCTACCAGATGGCTTCAGCTGATAGATTAAAGGGCCCCTCCCTTCAGGAATCTCTCCAGTCTTTAGACTTTTGATAACTGACCTGTGCTTAAGTTCTTTGGCTTCCACTGTGAAGTGCCATAATTATCTCTCCTAAACATACCCAAACAGAAACTGCAGACATCATCTATAAACAGCTGTTAAATGTGTGGTAGGGGGTCAAAAACATTTTTTTAAAAACCCCCAAACCCCCTAATGAAAGTAAATGGGAGGTATCTCCTTGAAGTCCACATCATTTCTTTATATTATCTTGCTCTATTTAGACTGTAGGCATAGCAGCTGAATTTGCAACTCTATTCAATATGGTTGAAAAATTATAAAAACTGGAAAATAATATACACTTAACCTGCTAACTTACAACGATCTGCTCAGTTTAATAAGGATCAACCACACCTTTGACTACTAAGTCAATAAAAAGCTGAAGGTGAACTATAATTCCTAAAATGGCAAATGTAAGCTAGGAGGCACAAGAGAAAAAAACATAAAAGTTGTCTGGCTCAGTTATTAGAACTAAACTTTGAGTGTAATGAGAGTTCTTTCAAGCAGGTAGCCAAAATGCAAAACTCCAAACTTCATTCTGAATCAACAAAGAACAAAGCAAAAACCTCAACGGCTGTTTGTGAGAACAAAGATGGAGGGCGGGTAATTGAAAATAATAACTTATGGCCAAACATTCAACTTTGGGCTAACTCCCCTGGTCCTCTATGATCACAGATCCACAGGACCTTGAAGTCTGCCCCAAGGTTTGCAAAGAGCTGTAAACCACTGCTTCCAGTTGGCCCTTTGCTGCAAATGTTTGTACTCGGTGCTTGTGGAAGGAATTTCACATTAGTTCTCAGCTATCAAAGAACAAGCCTCACTGGGAATCCTCTTTGGAATAGGTATTAGGGGTAATATAATGACAATGGGATCTATATAAGGCTTTAAGATCTTGGGGACACCAGTGGCATATTAAGTGTTCTTTAAGAATAATTTATTCTCCAGAAAGTTTTCCATTTTTTAACCAAAACAAAAACCTAGTTTAAATCAATGAAGTTAACTTCTTTAAAGGCTAGATTAGGAAAAAGTTACTTCCACCAAGAAGACACCAAACCATACAGTGTTTGATTTACATATCAAGTAGCTGTGCCTGACTTAAGGGTAGACTTTTATCACATACCAGCCATGTTTTAATCTTAACTCTTTACATTATTTCCAGGGTTTCCCAACTGGTCAATTGTTAAAGTTTAAGGGCCTCTGCTTTAGGTTTTCTGTAATCAAACAGCTTCTGTTCAACTAAGCACAGAAGGCTGATCAGCAAATAATTTCTGCCTAACTAAGCACAGGAAGTTGATCAGCTCTGAACAGAGTATCCAAATAAGGTCAACAGTCAATCTCTATAAAGCAAAACAAACATGAGACTTGTGTTTAGGTTTTACCTTCTACCTTTTGGATCCTTACACAACTTTTCCAGGGAGATAGGGCAGCATTACCTCTTCTAAACAGGAGAAAATGAGACCCAGGGTATTTAAGGGTGTTTAGGTTTTACCTTCTACCTTTTGGATCCTTACACAACTTTTCCAGGGAGATAGGGCAAGCATTACCTCTTCTAAACAGGAGAAAATGAGACCCAGGGTATTTAAGGACCTTGTTTTACAGGTTAAGAAGCAGAGCTAATGCACTGAAATGACAATTACTTTAGAGCAGAAATCAGCAAATTTTTCTTAAAACGGCCATACAGTAAATCTTTTAGGCTTTGAGAGTCAAAGGCTATTATGTAGGTACTTACAGCACCACGTGAAATGTACCTATTTAAAAAATGTAAAATACATCCTTAGCCTCCAGATACTTCACAGATAGGCAGCTGGCCAGCAGGAGTTGGTGGCCCCTGCTTTAAAGGAACAGACTTCCCTATGTACTGAGATGGCTACTAAACAACAGTTTTGGGAGGACTGTTTAACTGTTTTAAAAACCTTTCAAAATTTTATTCTTTTTAAAAATTGTGGCATAATACACGTAATATGAAACTTACCATCTGAACTATTTAAGTGTACAGTTCAGTGGCATTAAGTACATTTGCGTTGTTGTGCTGCTATCACGAACATCCATTTCAGGGAACTCTTCATCTTGCAAAACAAACTCTATATCCACCAGACAGTAACTCCTAACCCCCCAACCCTGGCAACCACCATTCTACTTTGTTTCTATAAATTTGACTATTCTAAGCACCTCACACAAGTTGAATCACATGATATTTGTCATTTTGTGACTGGCTTAGTTTTTACTTACCATAATTGGGCT